CAGGACGCAAGCCGAACTGAAAAATGCGGCGTACAAGAGACGGAGCGAAAGATACACCAACTCTCAAGTCAAACCGCGCTCGTACCAAGTCGGCGACTTGGTCCTCAAAAGGGTGACGGGGCCTGATCCCGGACCCCTCAAGCCGAAGTGGGAGGGGCCATACAAAATCCGCGAAGTCCTCCCTCACGGGGCCTATCGCCTCGAACATCTCGACGGCACCCCCCATCAGTACCCTTGGAACTCGGCGTTTCTGAAGAAGTTTTACCAGTAGGACGATCAATCTATTGTAACGTTTTTAATGAAGTAATGAAGAACACGTTGCAAAAATGTTATTCCCCCCCTATAAAACGTAAGGATCGGTGTCGGCCAGGATCAGTACGATGACCTGGTCGGCACCTCATAAAAACGTAAGGATCGGTGTCGGCCAGGATCAGTACGATGACCTGGTCGGCACCTCATAAAAACGTAAGTACTGGTGTCGGCCAGGATCAGTACGATGACCTGGTCGGCACCTCATAAAAACGGTGTCGGCCAGGATCAGTACGATGGCCTGGTCGGCACCTCATAAAAACAAGATCAGCGTCGGCCAGGGTCAGTACAATGACCTGGTCGGCACCCCGTGGAAACATCGCATCGGATAAGGACCAACACGATGATCTGATCCAAGGGGCGAGCAAGAGCCGAGGTCGAACACGACCTCGGCACCGAAACCAAAAACAAGCCCGAGCATGAGGTTCAGCCTCAGCGGGAAATGTGCCGAGCTCAACCGCGGGCTCGGTACCTCGAGCACAGCGTCGAAGCCGACCTCGAAACCCAAACAATTAAGAACAATCATCAAATAACCACGACATAATCAAAAAAGCATAAATGAATTCAAAAAACTAGCACGGCATAATCATAATACTTTAAAAGAGTTTACAAATATCCCTCCAAAAGGTAACACAAAAAAAGAAATTCAGACCACACTCGGTCAACTCAACGGCACGCAGGCCGGCAAACCAAAAACC